AGAGGGTCTGCAGCCCCCAGCCCCATGGCAGAGATTTATCCCCATCCAGGGTGATGCAGCACCTTGTGCCTTTACATGGGGTGGGCGCAATGGAGGGGCTGAGGAGGGGAGGGGTGCTCATCCCCAGTCCTGGGGGGCCACACCAGGCACAGCTCCAGCCAGGGGCTCGTCTGGCAGCACCGTGACGGCAGGGACATTGGCAGCAGACGGCTGCTGGCTGGAAAGGGGGGGCATAATGATGGTCCATCTCAGCAAAGGTAGCAGAGCATGAAAGCAATTTCACACTTTATTAGACAATTCAGGTGCTGGCTGCACAAGCCTGGAGCGAGCGCTGCTGCTGACACCTCCGCTCCTGTCTCGCAGCCCCAGGGCCACTCTCCGTGGGGCACAGCCCTCCCTCAGGCCACGCAGCACCATGCTGATCACGGCTGGCAGCACGGCAAGCGGAACCAGTGTGCGCTGCAGGGGACCAGGGTGCCGAGGCTGCGGGCTGCTTCTTGTGGGCCGCCCTGCTCCCATACACAGGCAGGCGCCTGGGAACCGTGCAGCCGGCAGGCTGGCTCTGCTCGGAGCCAGCTCAGCCTGGCAGTGGTGGTGAACTCAAGCACCATGCCTGCAAGCACAGCTCTGCTGGGGCTGGCTGTGCCCTTCAGCCCAGGGCAGCCACCCTGCTCCTGCTGGGTTCCCCTGCTCCCCTCCTTCGCTGCCCACTGCAGCCCTGCTGCACCCATACTCCCCTCCTGGCACCCCGCGGTGAGAAGACGGGTCTGGGTTTGGGAGCCTGGGCTTGGGGCTTCCCTGGCAGCTGCTTTTCTCTCGCGCCTCCCTGCCGCCTGGGTGCCCCAGCAGAGCCAGCGGGCACATCGACACCTGGGCATGCAGCCATCCTCCCCGCGATCCAGGTGTCTCCATCTGGAGATGTGCTTTGCGGCTCCCTACTCTGCCCACAGTCACCGCCGTGTCCCCGCAAAGCAGGGGAAAGCGGAGTCTGACCTGCCACCATCCTGCTCTCCAGCATGTGGCCGGGCTGGCGCCCTGCACTCTGGGGACACGGCTGTGCACTGTCACACCCCACGGGTGGACACTATCCAAATGCCTGCACGTCCAGGATATGAATCAGCCCGGACGGGAGTGCAGCAGCCGCTCCTGGACAACCCGAGCTGCCCGGCAGGCTGCTCCGGCAGCCAGGCTGTGCTGGTGCCAAACCTCTTGCGGGTCGGCAGGCAGGTTGCAGTCAGCAGCGCCTGCCCGGCTCCACTGCCACCTTGCCGATCAGCCCCGGGCATGGCGAGACCCCGGCCTGGCACGCATTTCCCTCCCCCTTGCATGGCTCTGCTCCCACAGTGCCGAGACACGGCACAGCGGCGCCCGGCCGGGGTGATGCCTAACCTTGACCTGACCTCCTGGCGAGGAGCCATCGCTGCCCGGCTGACCCCCCGTGCCCCCGGCCACGAGCATGTTCCACCAGGCCAGCCAGAGCATTCCTCCTGGGAGAACCTGTCCTTGCCAGGCTATTTAAAGGCACACTTGTGCCCTTTATTCCCCTTCATGTTTAGGCTGGAAGAGCCCCATACCCTCCAGTGACTCCAAGGGGGCACCTCCAGGCTCGGGGCAGCAGCAGGTGCAACGAGTTTGGGTGAAATCACGGGAGAAGAGAGGGATGTCGGTGCCCCGTGTCCTGCAGCCAAGTATTAGGCCATGTCCTGAGGACAGACCCCATGGGGAAGGTCCCACGGCCGTCGAGGTTGGCAGCAGGACTGGTGGGTACTGCAGAGCCCAGCTCAGCCCTTTGGGTCCAAAGACTGGAGGAGCTGCACAAGCCAATTTCCCTCTTCCTAGCAGGGACACCCACAGCACGCTCCGGCCGCCGTCAGGACCTCAGGGTAGGCAGGGCACCAGTGCCACCGCCGCTGGGCAGGGTGCTGGTGCTGGCTGCCTCTTGGTGCCTCAGCTGCACCCAGCCTGAAGCACAACCGCGTTATCTGGCAGGGGGCAGGCAGCCGGTGCCTGACACAAGCAGCGTGTCCCCGGTGTGCTGCCACCTCCTGCAGAGCACCGGTGTGTGGCTCATGTATATCTCCTGGTGGGATATGCGTGGGCTCTTTCACCTTGCCCTTCATGCCTGTCAGCCCTAGCAAGCGCTGGTAGTCGGACATTTGATGGGTAGAGCGGGGACCCAGGGGAGGCAGCGGGGGTCTAGGACACCTCGCAACAGCCTGCACCCCCGTGCCGGCTGCAGGCAGGGCAAAGAGCTTCTGGCCAGCACTGACACACAGGCAGCACTGGTGGTGGCTGGAGGGAGGGAAAGGGGAGCTGTTGTTTTAGAGCACATGAAATCCAGAGTCCTGATGAGTGGGACAGAGAAAGCCCAACCAGTTTTATAAGCTGCCTATCAAGTCCTGCCTGCCACAGGTCTCCTTCCAGCAGGCAGATCAGGGCACAGGCAGCACCAATTTCTCAGCGCTCCTTGTCCCGCTGTCACCTTTCACCCTCCAAAGGGTCCCGGGTACCTGTGGGCTACGGAGCAGGACCTGCTCGAGCCACTGACTCCTGCTGTTGCCTGCACTGGCGCAGGGCTGATTGCATCTGCGCCCCACTGAGCTCAGAGGAAGGCAACTCGGGAGGGAAATCCGACCTGATGTGATTTGATTAGGAACGGAAAAATCCAGAGGAGCTATCAGCAGCGAGCTGGAGGTGTAAGCCCTGCTGCTGCAGGGCTGGAGCTGGGGAGGGGACCCTCAGAAACACAGCCCCTGCGCAGCAGCCCTCGTCCCCACACCCTGCCCGCTTTCCCTTCCTGAGGAGCCCATCGGCCTTTCCCCAGGCTGGGAGCATCCCCAGGCTATGTCCCCATCTCCGGTGCTGCTGTCCCCTCCCAGGTTTCATGTGGGTGAGCATTTGCTTGGGGCTTTCAATGGCACCTGGGCGGAGGTAGCAAGCCCCCAGCCTCCCCACAGATAAAGTCCCAGAACCCTGCAGGTACAAAAGAGCGTGAGCCCCGCAGGCAGCTCTGCCCCAAACCAGGCACCTGGACCCATGTGTGGGGTTCACAGCGAAAGCACAGCAGCGTCTGGGGCCTGTCCCCACCTGCCTGGCACCCACCTCATCCCTCCCTACATGGTGCAAGCTTCAGTGAGGACATGCCACCTCTGCCCACCCTGCCCAGTCCGCAGCCACAGCCGCAGGGCAGCACTGCGGGAACCCACACCCAGCCACCAAAGCGCGTCCTGTGGGGAGCCCGTGGGTGGCCGAGCCTGCCGTCTCCCTGCCAGGCAGGGCGCAGGAGCCAGCACGCCAGCACTCGCCAGTCAGGCCATTGCACCTTTGATGTGGGAAGCGGCAGGTGCCCAGGGCAGCCGGGACGACGCCAGGCTGCTGCCCCGGCGGGTGCCTCCACGCTCCGCTGCCGGCAGTGGGTGAAGGGTGGGCAGCGTGGCACCGTGGACCGAGCTCTCCCACGGAGGGAGCACGGTGCCAGTCCCTGAGGGCTGCAGCCGGGAGCTCCCGAATTCCCCTCTGACACCATGTCAGCACTGCCGTGGGCACGGCTCCCGACCCCGAGCCCCATCAGCATCACGTAACAGCACAGCATCAGAGCAAGCCATGGGGAAACTGAAGCACAGAGCTGCGACGTCTCCGTCCCCAGACTGAGCCTTAGGTCAGGGACCAACCCGCACAGGTCGATTCTCCCAAAAACCTCTTCCAGGGGGCCTGTGCTGCTAGAGAGCGCGCGTGTATCAAACCACTGGAGATTTGTGCGGGTCGGCGAGGGGGACATGGTGTCCCGAGGGCCCCCCGGAGCCGTGCTCTCCCCCCCCAGCCCCGAGCAGCACCGGCTGGGAGGGAAGCGGCACCCAGCTCGCCTTCAGCCTCTGCCCCGGCACAGCCGTGCTCACGCCGG